TAACTTACTGTAAAATAAAAACAGTAATTAACTGGCAGCAAGTGACAAGTAACTTACTGTAAAATAAAAAAACAGTAATTAACTGGCAGCAAGTTACAAGTAACTTACTGTAAAATAAAAACACAGTAATTAACTGGCAGCAAGTGACAAGTAACTTACTGTAAAATAAAAACAGTAATTAACTGGCAGCAAATGACAAGTAATTTATGTAAAATAAAAAAAAACAGTAATTAACTGGCAGCAAGTGACAAGTAACTTGCTGTAAAAAACAGTAATTAACTGGCAGGAAGTGACAAGTAACTTACTGTAAAATAAAAACAGTAATTAACTGGCAGCAAGTGACAAGTAACTTACTGTAAAATAAAAACAGTAATTAACTGGCAGCAAGTTACAAGTAACTTACTGTAAAATAAAAACAGTAATTAACTGGCAGCAAGTGACAAGTAACTTACTGTAAAATAAAAACTGTAATTAACTGGCAGCAATTTACAAGTAACTAACTGTAAAATATAAACAGTAATTAACTGGCAGCAAGTGACAAGTAACTTACTGTAAAATAAAAACACAGTAATTAACTGGCAGCAAGTGACAAGTAACTTACTGTAAAATAAAAACACAGTGATTAACTGGCAGCAAGTGACAAGTAACTTACTATAAAATAAAAACACTGTAAATTACTGTATATTTCCAACCCGATCTCACGACCAATTCGTCTGAATTTGACGAGTGATTAAAAGATGGCTAATTCGTAACAATTCGTACGACCTCACTCGTACGAATTAGTACGATTTTTGCTAAAACGTACATATTTGACGAGTTGCCCAATTCGTATGAATTCGTACGAATGACCTACCCCTGACCCCGCCCCTAAACCTACCCATCCCGTGGGATTAGACAAATCGTACAAATTCGTACGAATGAGGTCGTAGGAATTCGTACGAATTAGCCATCTTTTAATCACTCGTCAAATTCGGACGAATTGGTCGTGAGATAGCGTTGTATATTTCACATGTGTTTTTTTACAGTGTAGCTCAAACACCAACATTTGAGATCTTTAGAGGAACACAGTCCGTCTGTGGAAGATACCGGAGTTTATAAACCCTGTGAGATTGATCATTACTGACCATAAGCTCAATCTCTGAGATAAAAATGGCATGACAGATCGTGGTAATTATAAATCATGACGGATTGAAAACGATCTGCAAGCCAAACCTGCAGCAAACTCTCATTAGTGGGTTGTCAGTGTTTTTAGCACGTCGAGCACACATACACGCTGCTGTGAGCCGTGTGTCACGTCAAACTGCTGGCTTATAAATGCTTGACATCCGTATGCCTCGTCTTTAAAATATATATGAACAGACAGACGATCAGTATCTGAGAACTGACCACCAATAAAGATCAAAAAGATGAGATTAGAGGTGAAAATGAGCTGTGAAAACAACCAAAACAAGAACTATAAATCATATTTTTAAGTGCGGTTTCATTCACAACATAATTTGAGATGATTATGCAACATTACCTTGGAAAAAAGACAACAGTATTTGCATCAAAGAGAAGTTTTCTTCCCTACTGTGTCGAATATCGAGTGAAACGCTTCTGGAACAAGAACAGATGTGGGCGGGCTTGATTGTGTCTGTGGGGAGTTGATTGGATGGTTGTGGTTTGCTATTGGCTGATCTCATGTGAGTGACAGGTTATAGCCCCGCCCACATCATCAGAGAAGAGAAGAGATGCTGCAAGAAGAACTGATTCTGACACTAAAATAACCTTGTGCTCTTGGTCTTGAGAGCTCATGTGAGTGTGTTCTGGATTTCAGTTCATGGTCTCAGTCAAGATGTCAGTCTATTTCCACTGTTCTTAACGCGATAATCACCTCCACTGCAGATCGGCACCGTACCTTCACCAATCCCCAAATCTCATTTCATTTCAAGCACTGAACGCTGCAATGGATTCATCAGTTTCAGATCCTTCAAATGGTTTTTGGAGGTAAAATTGTTCCAGGTCTAATGTTATTATATTGGTCTGGATCTGGGAGGCGTGCAAATGACTAGAACAGTTGTGTGTATACATGTTATACTGAATGCAGGTATCTATGACTACGCTGAACACACACTATGATTACAAAAGTGTTTTGCCTCATTTTGAAGATTTAAAAAAAAAAATTTGTACAGATGAAATCACATTCCAAGTCTGTCTCTATCAGTGAATTAACTTAGACGAAAGCCATAAAAAACATGTCAGTTATTTGAAATAAGACAAACGTCCACAAAATAAAACAATAATAATAACGTAAAAAATAAAATAAAATAAAATATAAAAAATATCATTTTTTATTTATTATTTAAGCTAGTTGCCAAGGCAAATTTCTCATTTTAATTGAATTTAAATGTATGATAAAATAACAAAAATAACTAAATAAACAAACAAACAAACAAACAAACAAACAAATGATGATAAAATAGCACTGGGATGCATAAATGAAACAAACAAACAAAAACAAGATTCAATCTTGGTTTTGATCTGAATCAAATCATCAGTTTGTGTTGTTCGAAACTTTTTAGTAAGATTGGAATACCTTTGATCCCCAAAAAATCTGGATTATCCTGATCCTGGATAATGGATTTCAGGAACGAAAATGAAATAAAACTTTAAAACTGGTCAAAATTACAACGTTTGTATCATGTCATGTATACACATTTCTATATTTATTTTGCTCTAGATTAGTTTTACTGTTAAAGTAATAAATTAGAAGTAGACGTTAGGCAACCTATTAAGCCTTTCAGTACAGTAAAGGAAAAACATAATTTTTGGCACTATAAAATAATCCCCCAAACAACTGTAAATATCAAATAAAAATATTATATTTAATTTTAAGTGTTTTTTAATCACTGTATATACCACATTGGCACAAACATATGAGAAGCACCAGTTAAAATACATTTTTAACAATTGCATCCCTTGTTGCATCTTTAATATTTGTTTGTTTTTGTTGTGGGTCACATGAGGAGCTACGGAAGCCCTAAAAGGACATGAGACGAAGGAAAAGCTGAATTTAAATGCCTTTGCTTTTTCTCACAAATGTTTTGTGCTCCCTAAGAAACTTTATGTTCACTCTTAATAAAAACTTTTGAGTTTTTTGCGAATAAACACAAAATTTCTTGGGGAACTTAAAACTTTCGTGAGAGAATGGAAAAGCATTATATTATATATTTCTACTCCCAGCTCATATTTTTTCATCACCATGTCCCTTTAGTCTCTCTGTAGGGGTCTGATTGCTTAAAGGAAATTGAAAATGGAAGGGCATGTTTGTTTGCTTATGTTGATTTCTTTCTCTTCAGATAATAAACACTTAAAGTGACCCACACTGTCTCTTCTACCTGTTGTTCTTAACATAGCTAACAGCCTGCAATTATGAAATGTAATTTTGCAATGTTGCTATAATCCAGCTTGTTTACATTTTGTATTTTATACTAATGTTCATTGACATGCTTTGTCCCTATCAAATACATAAACAAACAAACAGCCTTATTTGGAGCGCTGATATCTCAGGTTTGATAATCTGAAAAAGTGTGTATCTGGATCAGGGGGATCCAATCCTATTTTGCTTTGCAAACCCAACACAAAAGTAAGATGGATTGCCTGATCCTGATACTGGGTAGCAAAACATGGGAATTCCAAATCTAGATAATTCTGATCCAGATTAAACTTTTTGAACAACAGGGCCCAGCAGTTCCTCTAAACACATTTTTTGCTTTATCAACAATGACAAAAACAATAGTGTTGCATTTCTGCTCTTATAACCGATAGGCTTGCATTACTTACAATACAGTGTTCAGCACCACGGTCAGCGCTTACATTTAACCTAGAACAGTCCTGTGTTCAGCACCACGGACAGCGCTTATATTTAATCTAGAACAGTCCTGTGTTCAGCACCACGGACAGCGCCTATATTTAACCCGGAACAGTCCTGTGTTCAGCACCACAGACAGCGCTTACATTTAACCCGAACAGTCCTGTGTTCAGCACCACGGACAGCGCTTATATTTAACCCGGAACAGTCCTGTGTTCAGCACCACGGACAGCGCTTATATTTAACCCGGAACAGTCCTGTGTTCAGCACCACGGACAGCGCTTATATTTAACCCGAACAGTCCTGTGTTCAGCACCACGGACAGCGCTTATATTTAACCCGGAACAGTCCTGTGTTCAGCACCACGGACAGCGCTTATATTTAACCCGGAACAGTCCTGTGTTCAGCACCACGGACAGCGCTTATATTTAACCCGGAACAGTCCTGTGTTCAGCACCACGGACAGCGCTTATATTTAACCCGGAACAGTCCTGTGTTCAGCACCACGGACAGCGCTTATATTTAACCCGGAACAGTCCTGTGTTCAGCACCACAGACAGCGCTTACATTTAACCCGGAACAATCCTGTGTTCAGCACCACGGACAGCGCTTATATCTAACCCGGGACAGTCCTGTGTTCAGCACCACGGACAGCGCTTACATTTAACCCGGAACAGTCCAATGTTCAGTGTTCAATAAGACCTCAATTGTCACTAGTTAAAATAGTTAACTCATGATATCTGTAAATGTGTTTTAACATGTTACATTTGTTCTTTCAGATATTTAAAATGGCTTTATTACTAGTAACAATCACATTCAAAACTGTTCAAATTTATATCAAGAATTCACATCCTGGGAATGATTAAAAGTCAAAACGGCTTGCCACATATGTTCATGCATGCAACATTTAACGCTATTGAAAATAATATCAATCAAATGAAGCTAAAGCAAAACAATACAAATTATTTTACAAATCAAATAATGTTAAAAATAAATAAATAAAGACGCTCTCTCTCTCTCTCTCTTTATCTCTCTCTTTCTCTCTCTCTCTCTCTCTCTCTCTCTCTCTCTCTCTCTCTCTCTCTCTCTCTCTCTCTCTCTCTATCTCTCTCTCTCTCTCTCTCTCAGTCCCTCCCCTTTCTGTCTGCCATCACCCTCCTATCCGATCCAGTAAAGTGATGCTCGGCGCCTCCTCCTCGTTTCTCTGCGCGTTTCTCAGCAGTCAGTCGGACTCTCCGTCTCTCCATCGGATATTTCCCCCTGTTTCTCAGACGCTGTTCTGCGACCCGAACCGCCGGATTTGTCCCTCTTGAGCATGAGAGGAACCGCTGACCCGATCGCACACCATGAGCTTCGGACCCGGAGCCTCAGCCGAACTTTAAAGCAGCGCGGAGCGTCATATTCCCGATTCACGGGAGCAGCAGTTTCAGGTGAGTCTTTAATGAAGCATGTGCAACTCAATAGCGAAAGGGATTTTAAATGCAGCACTTCACTGAGCTCCAGTGCGCGAGTGTGTGTGTGTGTGTGTGTGTGTGTTTCTGCACGGATTGAAACTGGACTGCAGATGCTTCCATTATCCGCGCGCGCGTGATCAGATCTGTTTTCAGTCCACGCATTGCTCATTGTTGCATTACAGAAAGCAAGTTGATGTGTGTGTGTGTGTGTGTGGTTTGATGCTGTCCTTTTGCTGAGTCAAACCATGCTAAGCATAAATGAAGTATGAAAAATGACACCATATGCGTTTGGAGAGGCTGAGTGGATCAGCTGCTCACTGGACGCTTGGAGGACGTCAACACTGTTTTCTCCTTTGTATTTTTCCTGCTGCATCTGCAAAGTCAATAAACATGCACACACTGCAGTGGAGAGCACAGCCAGGTCCCCCTTCGGGCCTGTGTCTCGCTGGCAGTGTGATGCAGAAGGGTATGAAGTGTGCACACTCGCATTAATCTCACGAGCATGTGTGGCCGGTGGAGAGATGCGAATCTGTGTGTTTGAGGGCACCGAGAGGCTCAGAGCTGGAGGTGAACTGGTGTGAATGTGTTTCTGACGCGGAACTGTTGGGGGAGCTCTCGCGCTTTATGCGCTTGATGTCAAATTTGACTTTGAAGCTTTTGGTAATTGAGTGATTATGATGGACACAAAGCGAATGGCGCAGCCGAGAGTCCTAAAGAGTTTTTCCGGGATGCATCCCATTACTGGTGCCGTGAATCAAACCTGGTCGATATGCACTTCTATTATAATATTATGCAAAATTATGATGTCCGTCAATTTTAATGATCGGCCCACACGCCGCAAGCTCTTAGCTGCTCTTTGTGGCCTAATTTGGACTGTGGCAGGGGGTGTTTTTTCTTCTTCTAAAGACCTAATTATATGCAATTGATTTTTTTTTTATAATAATACTGTAGCAAAATGACCAGTTTGCATTATGTGGCAATGCCATTTTTTTCGTTCACTCTCGCACTGAACTTTTTACTTCAGTGAATATATATTCGTGATTAGAAAAACCTATTGGTTATTATATAAGGGGTGAAAAACACGTTGACTACAAGTGATGGGGCATTTTGTCACACTATACGGGGTAACATACTGATTTCAGTCATGCATTCACATCATCTGTCTAACTGGAGGAGGATTTTTTTTAATAGATTTTAATCAACTATTTTATTTTTGAAACAAGATTTAGAACAACATGAGGGTGAGTAAATGAAGAGAGAATTGACATTTTTGGGTTAACTATCTTTTTAAGCTCAAATGTTTAACCAGTTTGCATTATTTAAGCACATTTAACACATTCCCCAATAGTGTTGCATGTTGCAAGTACAGCATCTATCTAATTGAAAGAGGGAAAACATATATATATTTGTTAAATATATATATATTTTTTAACAAAGTTCGACAGATGACAGTTTGAATTATTGTAGCACACATTTCCCAATCGTGGGGCATGTTGTCACACTATGGGGAAATGCAATTTTTTTTTTTTTTTTTTTTTTTACATGACACATGATGATCCCTTTAAACTACAGGTGAAACTCGAAAAATTATAATATCGTGCAAAAGTTCATTTATTTCAGTTATTCAACTTAAAAGGTGAAACTAATATTATATAGACTCATTACATGCAAAGCGAGATATTTCAAGCCTTTATTTGTTATAATTTTTTATGATTATCGCTTACAGCTTATGACAACCTTTTCACAATATTCTAGTTTTGAATTTGGGGTTTTCATAAGCTAAAGCCATAATCATCAAAATTATAACAAATAAAGGCTTGAAATATCTTACTTTGCATGTAATGAGTCTATAATATATTAGTTTCACCTTTTAAGTTGAATTATTGAAATAAATGCACAAACTTTTGCACAATATTCAAATTTTTCGAGCAAATTTTTAGAGTAAAATAACCAGTTTGCATGATCTGAGCAATGCATCTTTGATTCGCCCTCTCTCGCTGTAAATGCACACTAACCCCAGACACGCATTAATGTCTAAACAACATGTTGTCTCACTATGGGGAAACAGACTATTGTCAGTCATACATCTAATTAAAAGAGAGAGAGAGAAAAAAACCATATATATATAAACAAAGTATACCAGATGACAGTTTGCATTATTTTAGCACACATTTCCCAATCATGGGGCATGTTGTCATACTATGGGAAAATGCAAATACAAAAATATATGTATAGATTTTTTGACATGACAGATGATGGGACCTATAAACAACCTGTTTTATGCTAAACAATTATAGTACCAGTATGCATTATCTGAGCAATGCATTTTTTATTCGCCCACTCTCGCATTAAATGCATGCTAACCCAGAAACGCATTGATGTCTAATGAGCTAAAGGCACAAACAAGCCGCACTAGTGACCGTTTCAGAAGCTCAAGGCAAAGAGCTGCGACCCAATGCAAACACTTCACACATCTGACGTTCAGCGCCACACCTGCGCCGGACCGACCGGTACCTGTTCTGATCGTCCTTCACGGAGGCGGATAGAGAGAGAGAAGCAGCCTCTCACACGCTCTCAGAGCTGTGGATGGAGACCATGAGCAGAATATCAACGACGAGAGAGCTTTGGCCGAGGGAATAATGAGCACTGTCTCTTCTGGCAGGAGGAGCGAAGGCTGCAGCTGGGGGTCCTGGCGTCCGGGCCCTCAGGAAGAACACATGCGCTCTACTGAACGCCTGCTTGTTTATTGTGCGGGATCGTAAAGATGATGAGGCTCAGGGTACACTGTAAAAAAAGAAAAACGGTAAATTTACGGTAAATAAACAGCTGGGAGAAATTTACCGTAAAAAAAATGCGATAGCAACATATAAAGTTTTATGGACTCACCTTAAATTTACAGAAAAAAAAAATCATTATCTGATATAGTGTTAATATACTGACCTTTTCAAGTACTAATATCCGTTTTGATATTAGTCCAATCACAGCGGTGATGAGAGTCACATGATCAATCAAAGCTCATCACAAGCAGTTTAACCACATTAAAGTTAATATTAATATATGGAAGCTGCACGGTTTCATTCACACAAACACTGAACACCATAATGGTAACACACATGAAATTTAAAAAATTTACATTATTTTAAGAACATTAAATGTAACATTAAACCCTAATGTACATAACTGATTAGAAAGAAACAGTTATTTCAACAAAAATACAATACATGTGAAGTCTCACGCTTGGAATTGTGGGAATGTCAATGTACGTTTTTTTCACTGTAAATTATACAGACTTGTTATTTTTCACTTCCAAATACTGTAAATTTAGCGGTATTTTACTGTGAAATTGCATTAAATGTGCGATTAGATCCATCACAGTTATTTACCATATATAGTACAGAAACTTTGTTACTTTGTTAACCAATTAACAGTTTTTCACCCTAGCATCTTTTCCCTGTTAAAATCACAATAAATGTTTTAAAAAAAATGTATTACAGCTTTTTACGTCTACACGACACTTTGTGGTTTTCGTTTACAGACGACAACGTTGCCAAAGCGATCCCCAGTCAGGATCTGTAAATATAAATAACTAAAATCGCTGTATTCTGCTGCCAGGCCAGTAGGAGGCGATGCCACTGTAAAGAAATGCCATGTGCCTACATACAGTAGCATTTGCATGACGTCACCGTTTTCAAAAATCAGAGTTTTTGGAGTTTTCACAGAGATAATAACTGTATCGTTTTAATAACTACACTTTGAAACCAGTTTTCAAAAGTTTACGGTTTTAGTATTAAAATGAACGGCCAAAACGTTTTTAGTTGAAAACAGCCCCTCGGATGCATTAGTTTGATTAATATGAATCCCCGCCTTTACAAAACAATGAAAATAAATGTGTGACTCCCAGGAAGTGACATCACTTGAACTGCTGACTATTATTTGCATATATGCGGAAAATAAAATGTAGATGTAAAAGAGGTGATGATAGCTGAGATATTAGCAAATATGGATTAATGTATCACTTTAAGGCTGATTTGAAACAATCTGTATTGTAAAAAGCGCAATATAAATAAATTGACTTCATTTTCCAAATGATTAGGGAGAGCGGGGCAAGTTGTCACACCGTTTACTCCAGTAAGGTGGATTTATCTGTGAAAGTCAGAGTAAATACCTTCACTACAAACACATTTGCACATTTCCATTGTTATTGTGCAGGAAAAAACAAACAAAAAAACACATTCACACACACTGACTCCTATAGTGTGGGCCATGTTGTCACACTGTATGTGATTATTTGGATTCTGTCTTTAAAGATATAATTCACCCAGATGTGAAAATGTATTTACGAGAAGATATTTTGAAGAACATTGGCAATCAAACAGTTTTGCTGGAGATTTGTCTTTGTACACTTTAAAGACAAAACACAAACAAACATGCATATCTCAAAATATCTTAAATCTGGCCCAGATCCGGCCCAGATCCGGTATGTGTGGAATCAACGTGTACCAGATCTGGGCCGACGCTATGTCGAGGTTTGGGATTTATAAAATAAAGTAGGGGAATAAAAGATGACATAATGTTCATTTTTGGGTGAACTACCCCTTTAGGCAGATTGTTTTAAGATAAATGTGAAAAAAATTATCGTGATTTTAACGGTAAAAGACTGTAAAAATGCTACAGTGAAAAACTGTTAATTGGTTAACAGAAAGTTTCCTTACTACGGTAAATAACTGTGATAGATCTAATGGTACATTTAATTAAATTTACAGTTTTTGAAAGTGAAAAAGTAAAATTAGGGTACATTTAATGTAATTTTACTGTAAAATACCGTTAAATTTTTTTGAAAGTGAAAAAGAACAACTCTTTGTATAATTTACAGTGAAAACCCGTAAATTCACATTCCCACAATTCCCTGCGTGACACTTCACATTTGATGTACTTTTGTTGAAATAACAGTTTCTTCATAGTTTTCTTAGTTTTTT